AACTTATACCACGTCAAAAAATGAGAATATTTGTTTACTTTGTCTGGCCTCCCTGTCTCTAGAGAAGCCCTAAAACCTCTGTACAATATCACTTTAGCATTTGTGAGCAGTTAGCCTACTTTGTTAGCAAGGTATTTCTAATTTTAAAAGTGGATCACAAACGATAAAGTTGTGATACTTCTGAGGAAAGTGTATCATCCTCTTGATTCAGCACGAAAAAGCAAAATTGATCTCCCTTTCTATGTTAGACTTGAGAGATCTTGAGGAAAATGAACAGGTATTAAAATACTGAATATAACTCAGCTATTAAAAAGAACACACTTGAATCAGTTCTAATGAGATGGATGAAACTGGAGCCTATTATAAAGAGTGAAGTAAGTCAGAAAGAAAAACACCAATACAGTGTAGTAACGTATATATATGGAATTTAGAAAAATGGTCATGATTACCCTATATGCAAGACAGCAAAAGAGACACAGATATAAAGAACAGACTTTTGGACTCAGTGGAAGAAGGCGAGGGTGGGATGATTTGAGAGAATAGCATTGACATATGTATATTACCAGATGTGAAATAGATCACCAGTCCAAGTTTGATGCATGAAATAGGGCACTCAAAGCCGGTGAATGGGGACAACCCTGAGGGATGGGCTGGCGAAGGAGGTGGGAGGGGTTTCAGGATAAAGAACACATGTATACCCATGGCTGATTCATATCAGTATATGGCAGAAACCACTACAACATTGTAAAGTAATTAGCCTCCAATTAAAATTAATTAATTAATTTTAAAAAAAACACTGAACATAGTCAAAGGAGAGTGTGTCATATGGCTTGGTTATGCCTTTATCCACAGTACATAATTTATTTTTAGACCCCAAGGAAGTACCTAATATCCTTATATCTCAATTTCCTTATATGTAAAATGCAGACATGATCACACTCGCATGTACAGAGTGATATCTGAATTTATACTGGGAACTGAGCTGTAGCTTAAATATATATCAAGATATGCCTATATACATCTCTCTCTCTAGATATATGCTCATATATATGTCTATAGAGACATATCCTGACTTATCTATAATATGCAATTACAAATAATACACTTGACCAAATTCCTTATCTAGACTATTCATATTTGACAACATTACTCACCTCTTACCATAGCTTTCCTCCACTAACTCTATCAACACTGAGCCTTTCTTTTAACTCTAACCTACTATGACTCTCAATGCTATGAAAAAAAATCTGATGTCATAAACACATTGTGTTACATGACCACTGAGGACCAAATCTGTTCTTAGTTACATAATCCCTGAGTCCTACCAGCCCTGCCAGCCTCAAGAGTCCATCGGAGCACAAAGGAAACAGCAAGAGGGGACTAAAGAATGTCCTGAATCTACAAAAATTCTTAACATAGTTTTCATTATTAATTGCTGGCAAAAAAGCAGACAGGTGAAGGTGGGAGAGGCAGTGGAGGGCTCTAAAATTATGATTTACACATCTTCTAAATATCACGGCACCTTCAAGAATAAATCCTTATGGGGCAGAAAATGATCCAACAGACCCAATCTCCTGCCCTCTTCCCCACTGCCAACATCTCCACAGCAAGATAGAGACCCAAGAGTATAATTTCCCTGCTACTTAGATGTCAAGCAGATACCTCCAACAAATGGCAGTTTTTATCACTACTTTTTTTATGCTATTTTCATCTGTGAGGTTTGTAATCCATAAGAGCTACCTAATAATAAGTAAAATCAAAGAGCTTTTTAAAAAGCCTGTGTGCTTTTATTGTTATAAATGCTTCACAAGTAAAAAGTGGTCAAAAGAATAAAGATACCCTGATTTGAACTTCCTTTGTGCATGAATTAGAGTGTTTCTCTTGGCACACTCTCACATCAGGCTTCTGCTTCTCTTGGCAAAATCATGAACTGGCTTATGTTGTCTCAGAGGCTTTCTTATGTCGCCTTTCCAAGCATCACTCTTCTTTCACGGACTCCTTCCCGTTACCTAGGAGCCTCTCGTGTTGCCTTCCACATTCCGCCTACTACACAGTAATGTTCTAGGCCCTTCTACCATCACAGTATGCTTTTCCTAAGACTGACTTGCTTTGAAAGGATTGTTGGGGGGTGGGGAATGGGGATGATGACTAACCTTTACCCAAATGTTGAATTATAAATAGTCCTCATTCTCTTTAGAACTGTTTCCTTAAGCAGAGATTCCTAGAAATGCTATCAACATCTCAGCCCCAACTAATGCAGTAAGAGGGCTCTCAGCAGGAGGCCTCAGCTCCTTGATTATAACTAGACCTTTTAGAAAAGTGAAGTTCATTGGATAAGGACTTTACCTGGCCTAGGGTGTTGATGTAGGAAAGCTGCTCTCCCTGAAACCATCCTCAAGGATGAGAATAAAGCTCTAAATATCTAGTGAGCATCCAGTAGGCTTCTCCCTGCACTTAAACTAAAATCTAACTCCTATTTTGGGTCCAAAAAGTCTGGCCTCTCCCTACCCATCTCTACCTAACACACTGTAGTCCAGCCAAACTGGCAGTTCTGTATTTGAACGTGCCAAGCCACAGTCTCATTCCTCCTGCCTAAGGCTTGCAGTGCCATGCTCCAGCTCTTGGCAGGTAAATTACTCATCATTTGGTTCCCAGCTCAAATGTCACAATCTAAAGTAACCTCACACACACACAAAATAAAATAAAGTAACCCCACAATCACTTTCCAGAATATGTCCTATCTTATTTTCATGATATTAATCATTATAAAACTTTATTATTCATGTATTTGTTTACCTTGTCTTTCCAAGCCTCCCTCTCAATATACCCTTCATTGAGTATCATGTTTATCAGTGCATCCCTAGTTTTGCACAGAACCTCGTACATATTCAGTAGTCAATAAAATTGCTGAATGAATGCATAAATAGATGAATCCAAGCATAACTTAACCTTTAAATGTGAGTAAGATCCTTATTGTACTAATAATACTGGGGGAGGAGGGTTAGTATCACTATAATCGATGTAACTAACCTATGTTTATAAGACTTTTATTAAAATGGACTATAGCATATCTTTTCATTAAAATATTATAAATATTAGATTGACACATATTCTTTTATAAAAGTCATTTTATAAAATGTCTTTTAATGAGTGCCAGAAACGAAAGCTAGTATCTTCTGTCAATATTAAAAGAGTGTTTCCCTCTGGCCAATTTCTAGCTTTCTAGATGTGTAGTGTCTGTTGCAAGGACTACAGGAGCCAATGAGCAATTTGCCTGTCACATGCTCTAACAAATCATCTTTCCCTGCACACAGGGTAGCTAAGCAGAGAAAACTGCTCTGAATAGAGGATAACCAACACAAGCGGGATGTTGCTAAACCTATAGTTTATTATTCACAAAGTTCACCCCAGCCTGCCAAAAAACTAAACTGGCAAACAAAAGTGCCCTAGCATTTAGCAGTTTGGTTTTCTACCAGGCAGTCCCAGTTTAAGTTGGTTGTAGCTTAGAAGCAGATGTCTGGGAGCAGTTCAGCAAGCCAGCAGTCCGATGCTTTTGTAGAGCGCTCCTCTTAAAAGGCAACATTGAGGCAAATTAATGGATTCCAACTTCCTGGGCTTGCCTTTGAACTATCACAATTAACTGTGCTTTGCTAAAGGGAAACTCCAAGGATTTTCTCAAAGGTTTCTTTCCTTCTAAGAAAAAAATGGCAATCTGGTTTAAGAAAAAGAAAGACAGAAACTCAGCATTAGTAGAGAGAGGAAAAAAAAAACACAAATCAGTAAAAATTAAATAACATAACTTTTAAGGAAAACATGTAGAATGAAAAAACCTTATTTTTAGAGAACTGCAATAAACTTTCTTGAGACATTTCCTAGGAAAGCATGGTTATTAAATCCTCCGAAAGAATTATTAACATTTAAATGACAAAACTCTATTAATTGCTGCTCTTCAATTAGTTCACTATCTAGTTAAATTTAAAATACAATCCTATCTCGGCTTACAAATCAAAAACTTCTTTGTGTTTGGGGTGGGTAGTAATGAGATACGTTTCATCAAACTGGTATACTATTTCACTTATTAATTTGGCCTCAATTGTATCTTTTTGCATGTCCACCAAGATAATTTCCGGGTAAGATTGTCTCCAGCTAGCATGTATTGTAAAACTGGAAAAAATTTTCCACTCTTCATGGATCATTTACAATCTGCAAGGTTTGGGGTGGGTATGAGATGTATTTCTGCCAATGGATAGCCGTTCAGCAGTGCTGAAAACCAATCCTTCTGTTTCATTCATGGTGCGATATGGTTCCATAAAAAGGAGCGAACCAAAAGTGCAGCTAATGCACCCTGTCAATCTGGGTTTAGACTAATTCTTTGAGATTATCATAAGAAAATTGTTTGTAGATGAATATATGAATACATTCTCTCTTTCTTTAGTCGTCTACCACTGTAAACATGTACTAATTCATTGGGAGAGAAAAAATCAAGTTTAAGGCCTTTTCTATTTTACAGGAGCTGTATTATTTTTAAGGAAATGCATTGCACTAAAATTATATATCTATTATAGTTTCGAGCAGAAAAGAGAAAATCCTGGGTTTTTCGTACAACATCTTCTAAAAGATTAAGGATCATGGTTTGAAACCCTTTCCAATAAGTGATTTGAGTACTCCGCGGCAATTAAAAGGCAAGCTGAAGCACTAAGATAAAGTTGTGTCCCCCTAGTGACCTCTAGAGTAGAGCTAAGCTCCCACAAGCAAGACTTGGGGGAAAAAAGGAAGCAGCAAGCCTAAGCCTGGCTCGCTGCTGCAAACCAAACCTATATTTTCAAGAGTACATCCCTTCGCATCTCAGAGTGTGGTCCTGTTTTATTAAACCCCAAGGCACGATAAATCTGCGCCTCCCGGGCTATCAGGCCCATTGGGTTGCAATCCAACTTCAAACGCCACTGCTTCCTCCTTCCCACCAAGCTCCGGTGCAGTTCCCCCGGCACAGGCTTCCTCACCGCGCATGGTGCCGAACTGGTTTCCACCTCTCTGCAGTGCTGCAAGACCACCCCTCCGCCACCGCTAGCTCCCCAGCGCGAGAGTCGAAGCGCTAGGCAGCCGGGCAGCGGCGACCTCTGCGAGTCCGCGCTGCGGCCGCGGGCGGCGCGTGCACCAGCCCCCTGCGCGCAGCGCGGCGCTGGGCGAGTCCTGGACACCCCGCTCCTGCTGGAGGCCGCCTACGAGGCTCCCTCCAGAGTCCAGCTCCCGACCACGCCGCGAGGCCTGAAGTCACCCCAGCAACAAGCTCATCCTTATCCTCCCTGCCAGCGCTTCTCCCCTCTGAACTTTCCAACTTTAGAAGAAGCCCTGGTTCCAAAGGAGCAACAGGGGCCCGCCTCAACAACGGGAGTCACTGCCCGCCTCGGCAGGTCGGGAAGAGGGGGAAAGTCTGCAGGGACCCGACCCGTAGCAAATCCCCTTGACCATGGGGGAAAAGGAGAGCCAGACCGTTCCTATCTCCTCTTGAGGCTGGAGGTTGGGAAAATGGATGCAGAACTTGTCACCCTGGTATGAAGGGACGGAGGGAGGTTGGGAGGAGAGAGTAGTAGAGAGACACCTCGAAAAACTCTCTCTCTCTCTCTCTCTCTCTCTCTCTCTCACACACACACACACACACACACACACACACACAGCCTGATTCCGAAATAAGACCCGAGGAGCAGAGTCGCTTCTGTCCCCACTACCCTGAGGGGGTAAGGTGCAACAGATACCCATGCTCTCGGAGTGGGAAAGGGGTGGGGTGAGAACAAGAGTCTCCAGGTTTCCCCGGGTTACAAAAAGGGGACAAACTCCAATCAGAGTCTCCCCGGAGGGAAAGGAAGATGCAGCAGTTCTCCCCACCTTCCGGAGAAGGAAAACTCTTCCCCAGCAGGCAGCCTTCCACTTGACCAAGCCCGGATGTAAACAGGCTAGCCGTGGGGGCGGTCGGCGGGTGGGAGGTGGGATGGAGCGAGGTGAGAATGGAGCGTTAACTCACCCTTGATGCTGGAGGGCTTTCTCTTCTTGGCCATCTCCTGTCCCCTCCCCTCCCCCAGACCCCCGGAGCGTTTCCTCCTGCTGTCACCCAGCTCCTGGAGCGGGCACCGTGGAGGGCTTCCAGGCGAGCTCTCGCCGCGGCTCTCAGCTCAGCGAGCTCTTTGTTGCTGTGATGGCATCTGCGAGGCGGCGGCGGCGGCCCGGCTGCGCGCTCGGCTCTGCTCGGCTCGGCTGGGGCGGGCGCCGCCGCCCCTCTGCTCTCCGCCGCGCGGAGCTGGTGAAGCTCGCGCTCGCTCTGCTGCGGCCGCTCAGACTGCGGCGGCGGCTGTGGATGCTGCTGCTGCTGCTGCTGGAAGGGGCAGCGCGGGGTCCCCCGAGAGCCCGCCCAGCGCTGACCTCCCCCTTTCCCACACCCTCCCTCCCCCTCTCCCCCACCCCAGGGTGTCCCGTCTGAGCCGCCAGCTCCAATCCAACCAGTGACGGCGCTGTCGTCCAGCCACCGCTGCTGGGGAAGGCGACGGTGGCGGCGGCAAGGGACTGCTGGAGGAAGTGGGGGTCCCGCGGCCATCTGCGACTCGGGAGGAGAAAGCCAGACGGTCCCACTCTGATGGAGCTCGCATCCTGCCTGCCTCGGCGCCTCGGAAGCTAACACCCCCACCCCAGGTGGCAGGGCGCGACGTCGGCGGCGGGGTAGGCCCACGAAAGGCACCAGTCTCCGTACGCCAACAAGAACTCCGGCCAACTGCAGGCGTATTGGCACCTGCACTTGGGACCGGGCCGCTCCGCAAAAAGCTGGTCTCGGGCACAGAGCCCGAATTCCAAGCGGGCGATGAGCCCCGGGACGCGCGGATGCCTCTACCCCTGCGGAACCGAGAAGGGAAGAGGGCCACTGGATAGTGAGTGGTAGAGAGGAGAGAAATTAAGTTCCAGAGGCAGCCCAGGGACAGACAACTGGAAGAATGACCTAGTTCAGGCCCTAAACTTATAGCGAAAACGCAGGACATGTCCCTTAGGGCTGTGGAAAAAGAGGAAAGAAAGCACACTCTCAGAAACTGGAGGAGTTGGGAGGCGGAGGAGTGATTTCCTGACCTCCAGGAGAAACTTTGTTCCGGGGGTCCAGTTCTTTCTGGCTCTGATTGTGAATTTGATAAGTTTTCATTACCCGGAAGGAGCTGTCCTACTCTAGCGTGCTGATCAGAAAGGGAATCTCACCGGTGTGTCGGGGCAGCAAGGTCATGCAAAAGTCTGACTGATCTGAGAATGTAAAGGTAACCAACTTATTGTTGTTCAGTCGCTCAGTCGTATCCAATTCTTTGCGACCCCTTGGCCTGCAGCACGCCAGGCTTCCTTGTCCTTCACTATCTCCCAGAGTTTGCTCAAACCTATGTCCATGAAGTCGCTGATGCTATCTATCTCATCCTTTGCCTCCCTCTTTTCCTTTTGCCTTCAATCCTGCCCAGCATCAGGGTCTTTTCCAATGAGTTGTCCAAAGTGTTGAAGGTGGCCAAAGTATCGGAGCTTCAGCATCAGTCCTTCCAATGAATATTCAGGGTTGATTTCCTTTAGGATTGGTAGCCTACCTTTAAAGGAATGGTGGAAGGGGTAGAGTAGGGAGGAAATTACCAGTATGCATGCGGGAAGATGCCAATTTATTCATTTCTTTGCAGAAACTGGGATTTCCTCAAAACCCACGTTCTAATTCACAGAGATCTTATCAGCAGTTCCCTCTATGTCCCCAAGCTAATCTGATTATCTAAACATCCAGTGATTCAATTCAGTACCGCTAGTCAGAAGTTGCCCCAGCATTGACGTGGTGCCACTGTATGAACACTGGAGTCCAGTATACACACTGCTATGTTTAAAATGGATAACCAACAAGAACCTACTGTATAGCACACGGAACTCTGCTCAGTGTTATGTGGCAGCCTGGACGGAAGAGGGGTTGGGAGAGAATGGATACAATATGTATGACCTGAAAATATCACAGTATTGACAATCGGCTATACCTCAACATAAAATAAAAAGTTTGAAGGAAAAAAAAAAAAAAAGAACAACACTGGAGTCCAAACGTCTGGTCTTGAATTCTAACCCTGGCAACATCATAGCTTTGAGAATGTGCACAAGTCATTTAATCCCGCTGTGCTGCTTCCTGGTTTGTAAAATATCATCTCAAAGATTCCTTCCAGTTCTAATAAATATCCTGAGATTTTTTAGTCACAAAATAATCAGATTTTTTTGCACTCTTTCTAAATTTAACTTTATACAATGTTTTATATTGAGGTAAGTAGTCTCAAGAAAATATGAAATACCCAATTCCTCTCACAACAAAGGTGTGCAATGGAATTAAAAAACAAAATAGCAAGCTTATTTTACTTAGCAACATAGGCCCATTCTCTGTTGTATAGTTTGAAATGAGACGCAATCAAAATTTCCTCTTCTAGAAAGCCATCTTTGATTTAATTCCAAACTACTTTTCAGAATCTTAAGATGTGTAAATATTAGATGTGGAAACATTCTTTCTGTGTTCATAATTTATCACTAAATACTAATTATTGCCTATATTAAGATAATGTCTGACAGTTCATTCATTACTTTCACATACTTTGTTTCATTTGATGCTGACCACAAACTTGGGAGTTCAGGAGGCAGGCCCTGTCTTCCATGTTTTATGGATGAGGACATGAGGTTCCTGGGGGTACAATTATTTGTAGAAAGCTTCCAGGACTTCTGTGAAGCTCTTCTAATGTAACATCAGCCTCATTCCATGACACCAGCTGCCTATGAAATAGTATAGCTCTGTTTCAGACCAGGACTTGTTCCTTCTATTTATTCTTTCCATGATGCCATTACTATTAGCAGAGGGAACTCAAGATTTTAGTGGACAAACTGTCTATTTTTTTGTACATGGCTTCCCTGTGGCTCAGATAGCAAGGAATTTGCCTGAAATGTGGGAGACCTGGGTTCAGTTCCTGATTCGGGAAGATCCCTTGGAGAAGGGAATGGCAACACACTCCAGTATTCTTGCCCCAAAAACTCCATAGACGGGAAGGCTATAGTTCATGGGGTCACAGAGCAGGAAACAACTGAGCGACTCACACTTTCACTTTCATGATTAACTTGTAGAACTTCAAAGTATTTTTGCATGCATTTTCTTAATTGAAGGTCACAACTATTACAGAAGACTATGAAAAGAGATTTGTTGAGCCCAACAGAACAGATGAGTGAACAGACCCAGAGACATTACAGTCACAGGTACTCAGGTCCTGGGTAGCTCACAGTGCATGCTTTTGTTTAAGGATTGCAAATAGAATATTTGTAGGGATTGAAAAAGCAAGAGAGTTCCCGAAAAACATCTACTTCTGCTTGATTGACTATGTTAAAGCCTTTGACTGTGTGGACCATAACAAACTCTGGAAAATTCTGAAAGAGATGGGAATACCAGACCACCTGACCTGCCTCTTGAGAAATCTGTATGCAGGTCAGGAAGCAACAGTTAGAACTGGACATGGAACAACAGACTGGTTCCAAATAGGAAAAGGAATACATCAAGGCTGTATGTTGTCACCCTGCTTATTTAACTTATATGCAGAGTACATCATGAGAAACACTGGGCTGGATGAAGCACAAGCTGGAATCAAGATTGCCAGGAGAAATATCAATAACTTCAGATATGAAAATGACACCACCCTTATGGCAGAAAGTGAAGAAGAACTAAAGAGCCTCTTAATGAAAGTGAGAGAGGAGAGTAAAAAAGTTGGCTTAAAATTCAACATTCAGAAAACTAAGATCATGGCATCTAATCCCATCACTTCATGGCAAATAGATGCGGAAACAGTGAAAACAGTGACAGACTATTTTGGGGGCTCCAAAATCACTGCAGATGGTGACTGCAGCCATGAAATTAAAAGACGCTTACTCCTTGAAAGAAAAGTTATGACCAACCTAGATAGCATATTAAAGAGCAGAGACATTACTTTGCCAACAAAGGTCCATCTAGTCAAAGCTATGGTTTCTTCAGTAGTCATGTACGGATGTGAGAGTTGGACTATAAAGAAAGCTGAGTGCCAAAGAATTGATGCTTTTGAACTGTGGTGTTGGAGAAGACTCTTGAGAGCTCCTTGGACTGTAAGGAGATCCAACCAGTCCATCCTAAAGGAAATCAGTCCTGAATATTCACTGGAAGGACAGATGCTAAAGCTGAAACTCCAATACATTGGCCACCTGATGCGAAGAACTGACTCATTTGAAAAGACCCTGAGCTGGGAAAGATTGAAGGCAGGAGGAGAAGGAATTGACAGAGGATGAGATGGTTGGATGGCATCACCGACTCAATGGACATGAGTTTGAGTAAACTCCGGGAGTGGTGATGGACAGGGAGGCCTGGAGTGCTACAGCCCATGGGGACACAAATAGTTAGACACGATTGAGCGACTGAACTGAACTGAGGGATCAAGATTAGTAAAGCAAGACACATGACACAAGCAGTATACATATGTAAAAAAGTGTTAGTCACCAGATGCCAGATTCTTTGAAGACCCCATGGACTGTAGCCTACTAGTCCTCTATCCATGAAATTCTCCAGGCAGGAATACTAGAGTGTGTTACCATTCCCTTCTCCAGGGTATCTTCCTGACCCAGGGTTCAAACCCAGGTCTGCTGCACTATAGGCAGGTTCTTTGCCATCTGAGCCACCAGGGAAGCCCCATACATATGTAGGCTACACTTAAATAAGAGGTAAGGACTTCAGGAAGTTGAGAGCACATGTACCACTACACAGCTGCAAGTTGGCTTATGGGAATGGAAACCTTGGATATGAGGATTCTCATTTTTCAAGAAGATTCAGGAATCTGGATTCCCAGATAAAATATTCTTTTAGTGTTGGTTAACATGAAACAAAGCAAAACAATGCAGGCTTAACAGAACACAACTGTCAGCAATATACAGCTTTTGGGCTGTGTATACCTGTATCCATTTTCACATCCCGTCAAGTTTTTTTTTTTTTTTTGGCTGTTCTGGGTCTTCACTGCTGTGTGTGCTTTTCTCTAGTTGTGACCAGGGTGGGCTACTCTCTAGTGCTATATGTGGGCTTCTCTTGTAGCCAAGGATGGGCTCTAGGATGTGTGGGCTTCAGTAGTTGCAGCTCCCAGGCTATAGAGCACAGGCTCAATAGTCGTGGTTCACGGGCTTAGTTGCTCTGTGGCTTGTGGGATCTTCCCCGACCTGGGATCCAGTCTGGGTCTCCTGCATTGGTAAGTGGATTCTTCACTACTGAGCTGCCAGGGAAGCCCTCAATTGAGTTTTATCACCAAAGAGTAGGTACTGAACCAAATCCTTGGAACTACTGTAATTCTGTTGATGTCTGTATACCCTTAGAATTAGAGGTTATCAAGGCTTTAGGTCCACTTAATCATCATTTCTAAAGATAGATTGCAGAGATTGGTGTTTTTACATTTCTGGCTGTTCCTAGAGCCATCAGTGAGAATGACCACAGTAAATCACAAATTTTAATTCATATGTAATTCTGCTGGGTATGAGGAAATCCCTACATTTTATTTGATGATGATAATG